TTATTAATTTTGAAGGAATTCCTTTTAAGCAAACAGTTTGCTATGATAAATGATTTGTAATTAATTGGAGCAATGAAACAGTTTTACTGCAAGTTTTGTACTTTTTCAATTTTAAAAGGCATAATTTTCAAAGGCAGCAATTTAGTTTTTCCTGTCTTGTTCTAAGCACCTCATGGTCTGAAATGGAAGGTGCAATCATTATGATGAAAATCTGGCTGGGATAAAGTACACTATAAATGTACTGGCTCTAACTTCACATCACTAATAGTGGTAAATACCAATTATTATTTTTTTCTCCTTCAGTGCACCTATCCTAACACTGGTGGTAGAATCATGCTGTTTATGGGAGGACCTGGAACACAGGTATACATAAAGGCTAGAGTTTTATATCAAAGCAAGTTAACAAAGCACATCAAATTGTGATATTCTTAACTTGAGCGCAAGAGTACATATAGTTTCTCAGGCAATTATTGCATGTGCTGTGATCACCAGGGACCAGGCATGGTGGTTGATGAAGAGTTGAAGAATCCAATGCGATCACATCATGACCTTGAGAAAGACAATGCAAGACATGTCAGGAAAGCTATCAAGGTAATAAACATATATTACCTATATATAAAATAATCAACTGTTCTCAAACTGACATGTTTGAAATCTGCTCTCTTAACATTGCTTTTAAAAGTTTCTATTAGCTTTTTAGTTGAGTCAACAAGTAAATTGTTTGTCTGACTTACAGCATTATGAAGCATTGTCTCGCCGTGCTGCAGAAAACGGGCATGTTGTGGATATATTTGCATGTCAGTTGGATCAGACAGGACTTCATGAGATCAAGAGTTTTCCTAATGTTACAGGGTATGTCTTGAGACTGTTCTGTCGCACCAAATTCTGTTCAGCATGCAAAAGAAGTTAAAACATTTTTTGTCCAGCTCATTTTTACTGTGTAGCTATACACCCGACACTGGTCAAGTTCACTGACCAGATTAATATTTTAGTGGCCAATTTTTGTAAATTAATTTTCTTCACATTTTTATTTTCTATTTAGAAAATGCCATTTTTAGATTTCAAAAGTACTTGAGCTCAGGCTCTCATTTCCGGGAGCTTTCACAATGATTGTAGTATGCCTTTGTAAATAGCAGAGTTTTATCAAGTTTTACTAATTTGGTTTAAATGATACTGTGCTTTGCTTTACTATGGTGCTGTACCATACTGAAAAGTACCGCTTTTCTGTTAGGGGTTACATGGTTATGGGAGATTCATTCAACACAGCACTTTTCAAACAAACATTTCAGAGAGTGTTTTCCAAAGATATGCGGGGAGAGTTTAAGATGGCTTTTTGTGCTACACTTGAAGTGAAGGTGGGTGGATTACAAGTTTCTTAGGATACAGCAAAGTCCACTTCTTAGTTCTAAATGCCCCCTTTTCAATTTAGACCAGTTTTAGACTACTTTCAAACGATTTACAGCCCCCTCCTATGCAACCTCCCCATATGTTATCCTTGACTGAATTTGAGGATTATCACGGATCATGTAGTCTGGGTGACCCAAGATTTGATCAGCCAGACCTTTAACAAAATTAATAATCAGATTCCTTTCACCACACCTATTACTGACCATGAACCTAATTTGAACTATAATTTGTGCATGGGTTGTTAACTCTAGCCAGCTGCTCATGAATTGTCTTTGATTTCAGACATCAAGAGAATTGAGAGTATCAGGTGCCATTGGACCATGTATATCATTGGACAGAAAAGGACCAAATGTTTCTGAAACAGTAAGACCTACTCTCAATTTAAGATGAACTTAAGGAAAATAATGTTACCAATACTTTCTAGCTGCCATGCAAGTGCACACTGCATACTCAACTAGAAAAGAAAATGGCTTCTCATAATAAGAAACTAATTTGATTTTTTTATTTTTGGCATTTAGTAGCAAAAATTGTTCTTTGAAGGAAGTTAAAAAATAATAGGTATTTGTACTTCAAGAAGATATGTAAACATAGTATCGATTTAAGCCCAAAAGGGAACCAGGCTGAGAATTTATGAAAAGGAATTAAATTGTGTTCAATGTAATGATTACCAATCAAAAGACAGGTACAACAATACATATCTGTGTTACATAATTATATATTCCTTTCAAACTTTAAAAACAAGACCTGCTTTTATAGGAAATTGGAGTTGGTGGAACATGTGCGTGGAAGCTGTGTGGACTGGAGCCTCAGACAACACTTGGAGTCTTCTTTGAAATAGTTAACCAGGTGTGCCTCTTTGTTTTAAATGTAAATCAGCTGTGAATTAGTGTTAACTAGCTACAGTTCTACTGTATGATTTGAGCAAGATACTGTTCAATCCTTGAAATCAAGAACAGTGCTTGTGATCTTCCTTCTGTGGCTGTTAAAGAGAAAATTTCACCAATTGTCTATTTCAAAACCCAGCACACGGCCCCAGTTCCCCAGGGAGGGCGTGGCTGCATACAGTTTATCACACAGTACCAACATTCCAGTGGCCAACGGAGAGTTCGAGTCACAACGTGCGCGCGAAACTGGGTAGATGCATCAAATGTTCAACACATCGCTATGGGGTTCGACCAGGAGGCTGCAGCCGTTATGATGAGCAGAGTAGCTGTTTTTAGGTATGGCAGTGAATTGTGAGAAGTAACATTTTCGGTGAAAAACACTGTTGTGTGTATGAAGTACGTTATCTGAATATGTTGTTGTGTTCTGTTATAGAGCTGAAGGTGATGATGGACCTGATGTGTTACGCTGGTTGGATCGCATGCTCATTCGACTGTGTCAGAAGTTTGGTGAATACCATAAGGATGACCCAGGCTCTTTTCGTCTGGCAGACAACTTCTCTCTATATCCACAGGTACGGTCGTTATTATTTTCTCAATATGCAGAATTTCCCAACTTTAGCTGAGTAAAATAGGTTGTGGTTATTCATCGCGGTAAATAACGCGTTAAAGTGAATTGCAATCGTTTGTCTTATGATGGGGTCACTTGCGATGTGGATCGCGCTGTTTCGACTGCATACTGCTAGTCTTCGTTAGACGACGAGGGAGACTTGCAGTGTGTAGTCGAAACGTCGCGATCCACATCCTAAGTGACCACATCGTGGGACAAATGATTATATTTCTCTTTTACTTGAGTAGGTGTTCGCTTCAGTGTTCCCTCTCAGTACAGGTTTCATGCTTCTAGCAGTGATTATCATGAATGTTGGTGTTGTTAATGTATCAGGTAAACTGAATGTGGCAAGAGTACCCTATAACCCCATACATTAATTATGCATTCCACTTCTTTGTCTTTCACGACAAAACTTTAAAAACAAAGTCTACTAGTCTGAATGCATAATTAATGTATGGGGTTGTATGGTACTCTTGCCACTGAATGTCCTACTGATCTATGACACATTCTAGTCGCCGTCAGGCTCTGCACTTTGCGTTTGTGTAACTGTAAATAATATTTTTCATCCTTTGTGTTGCAGTTTATGTTTCACCTGAGACGGTCACAATTCCTTCAAGTGTTCAATAACAGCCCTGACGAGACAGCTTATTACAGGTACAATTTTTGTGTTTTGTTACCTGACCCCAATGTGAACATTGAGAATGTATTAAGGTTTTAAGGAAGCTTATTTCTGTTGCGAGATATCAACTTCTACCTAATAAGGTTGAGCACACTCGTCACCTGTTCGCTGGATAATGTTCGGATTCTATAGGGAGAAGTTACATGTTAATCACTTCTGGGAGTTAAAGTGTGTTCAAAATAATGTCTTTCTGTCACGTGATGAATGGCGAGGGTGAAGTCCGAACACTTAAAAACTTAACAAGACAGGATCGTGCTTTTATCTCATTTTTTACAACTTCGCGTTGTTACGTTGCTTTATTCACTGTCTATCCCGGAATAAACAGCGAATAGCGTAGCTAATTAGACTGCAGCAGGGTTTTATTTTATTTTCAGTTATTCTGATCAATTATACTAACGATAAATAGTGATATGAGGCACAGAGCGACATATCGTTCGACTTAAAGGAAGTTAAATAGATTATAATCGCGTTTTCTATATTTTGCATTGCAGACATATCTTGAACCGTGAAGATGTAACGAACTCGTTGATTATGATTCAACCTATCCTATACTCGTATTCCTTTCAAGGACCCCCTGAGGTTAGTTCATGGTCAAAATTGAACCTGCGTTTCGGTACTGCGGGGTTCTGTTCTTAAAACCAAGCAAGGTTCCAAGGGAAATACAGAGGCATTTGAATACTGAACCCAAACCAGGAAAATTCAAGCGAGTCGAAGTATTATTTCAAAGGAAAGAATGATCGATTGTTTTTACAATGGTCCAGTGGTTTGATTTACAGAGGCGTAACAGAAAAGAAAGAACGACCAAAAAAAAACCGTTTGCAAACTTTGAATTCATGGTCACGGTCTTTTTAAAGGAATCAATGTTACCGATTATTGTTCCTCCATTTGATCTTTTTCAGCCGGTGTTGTTAGATTCTAGCAGTATTTTAGCTGACAGAATTCTTCTCCTGGACACGTTTTTTCAGATTCTTATTTTCCACGGAGAGGTACGTTGACAAATTACAGTTTCATTAGATTACAAAGTGATGGTTGGATTCTCATTGCATTCTATTTTATGTTCTTTATGTAGACAATAGCACAGTGGAAAAAAGCCGGGTATCATAGCGATCCACAATATGAAAGTTTCCGCCAGCTTCTTCAGGCTCCAGTTGATGACGCAGGTGAAATCCTACAGGTTCGCTTCCCCATGCCGCGTTACATAGAGACTGAACATGGCGGCTCTCAGGTAACATTCTGTTTTGCTTTTTGATTTTTTTTTTCTTCTGCATGGTCCTGTTTGTAGTTGTCTTTTGTGTGTTTTGTGTTGTTTTTTTTTTCTGTGTCATCTTTGTATTATTACTGCAAATGGCAGATTGTTTCGTGAAAGGGAAAGGTCGTTTTAGAAATGTTTTCTTGGAAGGGGGCAATTGTGCAGAGACAAAATCTACGCAAAAAGATGTGACGCATGCCGGACAGAAATACGACGCTCTTCAAAAACAATTCGCTCACATTCTCATTCCCTTAAGACATGAAAAGCCAATGAGGAAAGCATATCGTACAGAAATAGTATTACCGACTTGTTCGAGGTGTAATTCTTCGTTTTTCCATCCATGACATGGAACCATGGGACAGACTTTGAGGCTCTGTCCGGACTTTCTCCAAGTCCAACTAGCTGTTTAAGGCGGAAGCCAAGGTTGATTTGTGAAGAAACCCATTTTAAGTTCCTCCCATAGACCAAGACTTCTAATGCGTTGCGTAGGTGACGTAACTTTTCTTCTGTTTTTTCCAGGCTCGTTTCTTGCTGTCCAAAGTGAACCCGTCCCAGACCCATAACAACATGTTCGCTTGGGGTCAAGATGCAGCTGGGGCCCCTGTGCTTACTGATGACGTCAGTTTGCAAGTGTTTATGGAACATCTCAAGAAACTCGCTGTGTCTAACACTTCCTAAGCAAAGCATTCCCTGGGGCTCCGTCTTTGGACCTTTCCTTGGGAGGAATCCTAGATATCCCACTGAAAGTACCTAGAGAGGACTCCCTATATGACAGATCTTTATAGCATTTTCAAAATGGTAAAAGTACATGTTGCTTTAATAGTCTCGTCCCTGATATTCTCTTGATTGCTAATGGTGAATACACGCAGGTACTTTGCCTTAAAAAAAAAAAAAAAAACTTAAATTTGTGTTGGAAGTATGTTTCCGCGAACCAAACCCTGAAATTTTATTAAAGTACACTAGAGAGGCAAACATATTTTTGCCTGTTTTATGTCTTAGAAATGATTATCGGTGGAAAGTAAACACGTTGTCCTTTTTGTAGCTTGCATCCTAAGACACAGACAAGATCCTGATAACATTTAGTTACTAGATTAGTAGTAACATTTAGTTACTAGATTACTGGTAACATTTGGTTACTAGGTTACTTGGTTCTCCAAATTCATTTTCTGTGGTAGTCAACTGTAGGTGTAAAGTTTCAGGGCACCGAAGTGAATCAGGAACTCATGGTCCAAAGGGTTTGTTTCGGAGCAAAGCGTTTCTAGAAGTTGGATAGATTCCTTTTGATGAAAAAAACTTCATTTTCATTTTCCCGAAGGTAACTTTGTCACGAACACCGACGGTCGAGCAGGATTGATTGACGCACAAGAAGAACACTTTTTGACTAGCGCACGGCTGAAAGCCTGTCATGTGACTTTGTTGACTTGTTTTTCTTGCAAAAATATGTAACTAATAGCTAATACTTCCAATCTCTACCTAACTAGCCAATCTACGTACTCGAAAAAAAAGTATTCACCTGTGTGGCATATGCCAAACCTCTATATTGTTACAAATCCTAATCCTGCATTTAAACTCCCCGGTGGTACTCTCCTTCACACCGCAAGATAGCTAGCCTGCAGGCTAACCAATCCTACCTTCTTTGACAAGTTGTGCGCCTGTCCCTCCCCCTCGTGATTTTTGTGCCTACATTTGAGACAGAAGTTGTTGGATTAACGACTCTAAGGAGTTTAAGCAAATCACTACGGCTGGGGAGAGTACGTCGTCGTAGCCCGCCAAAATTCAACTTTAAGCAACGCGAACTACAAACCTAGTACGGCTGAGAAGTTTAAAACCAATAAATTAAGCTTCTTCGCGGTAGTTTTTGCACGTCTAAAAACTCAAAATGACTTCGTTCAAAGGGACGAGGGATTCCAACGTTTGGAAAAAAAAA